GAGAGAATCTGGTGGATAGCGACATCCTTACGAAGACACAAGATCGAGCGTGATCGAGATCGATATTTTTCAGGTCGGGGTGAATCCTGAGCTCAAAGTGGGCGAGATGTCGTTCGACAATAACGCGGCAATTTGCCGCCTTCTCTACACCGAATCGTTCGCCACTGTGCACAGTTGCGTCATGGGTCGTCCTTGACATCCCCTACGTTACGTCAGGTCATCATATATAAGCGACGCCATTTTGAAAGAGTGACAAACTCTCGATACAATAATCTCGATCTGAATTGATTAAATTCATTTAATGGGATAATTATTTCGGAGACGATTTAAAGAAAGAAACAAAAAGAATATTGTATTTTAATAAATTGCAGTTTATTTATATATTTTATTGAAATATCAATCGATAGTATGATAATAATTCAATCTTCATTGATAAGGTTTTTCTTCTTGTTCTTTAATATAATCATTTCTTAATTGCACGGATCCTTGTTACGAATATCGTGGATGGAAATGGATCAAGTGGAATCGTATACTTATTCGTATGCATATTGGTATTTGAGAGAGAGAGAGAGAGAAGAAGAATTTCGTGCTTGGAAGCTGCAAAGAGGATGCAGACTTGGTATATTCTAACCAATTTTGAATTTCAAGGATGAATGTTGAAATTGGAGGAATAAGATGTGTGGAATGTTTATTTTCGCGACAATGAAAGTATAAAGTAAGTATAAATTCGACTGGAGGGTAATTCGCGCGAAACTTCATTATCATTGTACACAAATCGACGTCCAGATCGCGCGACCAGTCAAGCAGGTTAAAAGGCATTGCAAACTTGTGAAAGAGTTGAGTGAAAATTTTTAAATTTTCGCATGAATTCTTTTATTAATTTAAATTTTAAATTATCGTATCTTAAAATATTAATTAAGGGAATAATTCCAATATAATAACCGGAAGAATAATGATCTTGGAATTTTTATTACGTGTCAGGGAATCGACTATGATATATTTTTTTATCCTTTTTTTTTTTCTTTTTTCGAAGGAATAACGAGGAAGATTTTTTTAAAGGGAACACGAACAAAGAATGCTTTTTAGATGTATTAAAAATTCCGTTTGATAATAGCACAGTTTTTGTGTCGTCGCTCGGAGGATTAGATTTGGAGTAGAAAAAAATGGCGTTGAGAGGGGGAACAAGGGGTTGTACAGCCTTTGAAAGTAGGTCATAGTTCTTTTTTTAAACGAGGAACCTTGCATCTTGTCACCTTCGATTGCTCATAATTTGATAATTAGCAACGTTTCACCTTAGTTTTCGCCTCGCGTGAAACAGGGATCTTGCTTGTCGATTGAGCCACTCGTTTATTTAGAAATTTTAGACACATTGTCTAAAATTGTCTTTCTTTCTTCGTTTCAAATTCTAAGAAGAGAAATCAAATTTTATGAATTTCCATTTCCTTTTCTTTCCAAATTTCAATTATTGTAAAGAAACAAATAATAAAATTTGCATTTTTATTATATGAATTTCACTTTTCTCCCCAATATCAAATTTCCATTTCCATCGAAGAAATTCCTTTCTTGCTCCAAAAATAAAAATACTTTTCAAAAAATATTAAGAAACTCTCGAGAAGAATCTCAAAACTTTCACATATCACACTGTGTTTCGTTCCAACTCCAATATTCATAATTTATAAAACTAACTTTTATCTCGTTTTCCCAAACACACACATTTATAGAAAATTTAAACATTCTCATAGATCACAATATACTTATAACAAACACCCCTTCGACTCGACCACAAAATTTTCAAATTTTCAAAGAAAGATTTAAACACAACTCGATCATCGATTCATCGAGTTTCTAAAAATCTGAACTCAGTTCAAATCTAATCTAATTAATAACATCAGGCAGGAGGAGGTTGTCCAGGAACTGGGTTATCCTTTCGTCCGGCCGAGGAATCCGCTTTCGATCATCGAGGGGCAGAAGAGGAAAGGAAAAGAGGGCTGCTACTGCTGCTCCCTTCGTCTCTGTCCCTCGCCACTGTCAAGAAGCAAGAGAGGCCTCGGCTGTCAATTAGGCCATACGCGCGCCGCTTAAATGGCTGCAGACCTCAACGTGACTGAACGTTGTAATACGTTTAGAAGGGGGGGAGGGCCCGCGGTATGGCTTCCGTGGTGGTCACTGTCGTGTGCAGTGCGCGCCAGCTGCTCCCCAAAGCGCACCGGTCTCACTTTTATATACTCTTTTAAATTTTGCCCGAAAATAACCGGCTCAGTCGTTCCCCTGGACTTCGCCTGAGAGCTTTGCCTCACCTCGCAGGAGGAGGAGTGATAACGGAGGAGAGGAGAGGATTTTGAGTGAAGGATGAGAAAAGTGATCTCGTGATTGGATCGATCGATGGTGGACGGATCTTGATTTTTCGTGATGTTGGATAAAGAATTGGAGAGGGAGGTTTTTGGAGTGGTTTTAGTATAATTGATAGATGGTAGATATGTATGTATGTATGCATATATACATATAATTGGTGGAAATGATTTATTTGGATTGATGGTGGAGGATCTGTTGGATTTGATATTTTGGTGATTTTTGGTAAAAGAGGAAGATTTTATTAGTTGCAAATTTGGTGAGTTTATTTTAGATGGAAGTTAATTATAATTAATTATAATAAGGAACTCGTTAAAGGTTTGAATAATATCTTATGTATAAATATATAATTGGTGAAAATGATTTATTTGGATTGATGGAGGATCTGTTGGATTTGATATTTTGAAGAAAATTTTATTAGTTGCAAATTTGGGTGAGTTTATTTTAGATGGAAGTTAATTATAATTAATTATAATTAACTTCCATCTAAAATAAACGCACCCAAATTTGCAACTAATAAAATTTTCTTCAAAATATCAAATCCAACAGATCCTCCATCAATCCAACTAAATCATTTTCACCAATTATATATTTATACATAAGATATTATTCAAACCTTTAACGAGTTCCTTATTATAATTAATTATAATAAGGAACTCGTTAAAGGTTTGAATAATATCTTATGTATATTTCTTATGTATAAACATATAATTGGTGGAAATGATTTATTTGGATTGATGGAGGATTTGTTGGATTTGATATTTTGAAGAAAATTTTATTAGTTGCAAATTTGGGTGAGTTTATTTTAGATGGAAGTTAATTATAATTAATTATAATAAGGAACTCGTTAAAGGTTTGAATAATATCTTATGTATATTTCTTATGTATAAACATATAATTGGTGGAAATGATTTATTTGGATTGATTTATTTGGATTGATGGAGGATTTGATATTTTGAAGAAGATTTAGTTGCAAATTTGGGTTAGTTTATTTTAGATGAAAGTTAATTATAATTAATTATAATAAGGAACTCGTTAAAGGTTTGAATAATATCTTGTTTGATATTTAGTTTAGTTCTCTTGTAATAATATAGTTCAGTGTTCTTATGCAGTTTATGAATTGCGGTGTAACAGGGTACGTAAGCAGGTGGAATAAATTTTTAATGAGAAAGTTAATCAATAGTGAGTCATTCTGATTGTAAGACGTAAACTGAACTAACCTATTTATATTAATCCAATACGAATCAAATTTATCGATTATCGAAGAAATATTAATTTTTGAGATAAATTTTTTTAAAAGAGAAAAGAGTTTTTATATGGTGAAAAAATCATTGAATAATCAATTACAAGTCAACGTTAAAGATTAATAGTGTTGCGACACATCATTCCTTTTTCCAGAGATCATAGATAAATCTTCAAATCTTAAACATGAAAAAATAAGCGAGAAAAGAGGAAAGCTATAATTATATTATCTTGATTCGTGGGATCAAAACTTTTAATTTTTTTATATCAAATACTAAAATAAAAAAAAGACTATATTAATTGGATATAAATTGCAAAGAAAAAAGAATGTTTATGCTTAAGTTCACAGAAAAACTTGATATCAATGATTTTCACTAGTGACTTAAATTTTAATGAAAAGAAAAAAAAAAAAAGAAATGGAAAAAGAAATAAATTTACTTGATTGAATTCCAATGTTCCAAAAAGGAAAACGAAAGTTTCCTCAGAGAGAAGTTAATCAAAGTTGTATCATCCTTCCCCCAGAGATCAATAAATCTTCCACCGTAAAACTCCAAAAGATAAACAATTCGTTTTCTCTCTCTAAAATCGAGTTTCAAAAACAAAACAAAATATCCACTCGTTCGAAAAAAAAAAAAAAAATAAGTATTTGATGAATCCAAACACCGAATCGGATTATAATTAAGAAAAAGAGATTATCAAACTTCAAAGGTCGAAAGCAAGGAGACAAACATTTACGACGAAATTCAACAACAAGAAACCTGATCGATACCAGTATTATCCAACTGATAATGAATTCACTGTGATCAGTAAAAATTCTAAAACTCCTCTAAAAATTCTAAACTTTTAAAAAAATAAATAAATAACATTTTAACGAAAAATCAAGAAACATGATCGATTTACCTTACGACTCACTCGTCCCCAGATCGAACGATAAGAAATCGATGAATCGAAAGATGGAAAAGTATCGATCTGAATAAATCACGCGGGATATATATTGGATCAATAAAATGCTCGTGATAATCTCTAAACGATTCCACGACGATCGTTGTTACAGTTCGATCCTTATCGTGTTGGATCCGATCACGTAACCGCCATTTTCCCTAGAATATTCCCTTGGGATTTTCCTAGGATATTCCCCTAGGATTTCTCAAAACTCCTCTTAAGAGAGGCGAAACCATGAATAACAGAATAACGGAAGAGAGAATATAGAATATAGAACAATATAGATCGGTCGAAACGATTTCTGATCGACAATGGCGTTTCGATCCCTCCTTCGAGCTTGGAGAAGAACTTTCCCCCTTTGAACGAACGTTATCGATTAAACACTGGTCGGAGGACGAGAAATTCGAATCATTTCGAAGAGGGGAAGGGAAGGAAATTGTTTGGAGGAAGGATGGTGTCGTTCGAGTTTCTAGTGATTTTTCTTGCCGCGCTGCGCACCGTTCTAGGGACAAAAGACGATCTCGACGATCCGAATACGTGCTCGAGGAACAAAAGTTTGTTCGAGATCCCTGGTGACGCTGTTCTATCTGGTAAAACTGTTGGAAAAAATTTACTCTTTAACACGTTGACTCGTCATTCCTATTTGGAAAGATATTCCACAGGATGAAACGAAACGAATTTATTAATAAAAGCGATTGAAAAATTATTTAGAATGTAAATAAAGGACAATTTGGAAAAATTGTTGTCTATTCGCTAAGACTATAATTCTTCTGATTTTTTCTTTTCGATATTGAAATTAATTCTAGAAATTTGCAACGTTATTCCAGAAAAAATGCAACGATGGAAACAGATATTTTATTTATTTATTTATTTATTAAGAAATATTATTTCAATAATTTAAAATTAAATTAGTAAATAAATAAATGTATATAAAAATAATCAAATTACATCAACAAAATGTCAATATCAAATTGCTAA